GCGCAAAGGGGGCGGCCGCGCATCCGACCAGGGCGCGGGGCGCGCCTCGCAGGCGCTGGACGGCGAGAAGAGCTGCAATTCCAAGATGGCCATGCGCGACCCGAAGAAATTCTGCTTCCATCGCGCATGATCGCTCTGCGTCGTGCATGGCAACCCGCGGCGCGAGTGCAGAGGGCCAGATGGCGGGGTAGACCCGCGGGGCAAGGCCTCGCAGGGCCCCCCGAGTCGGCGCTGCCGATCCGGGACGCCCAAGTCAGCGGCTGCTGCCGACGCCGCCAGGCAGAGGCTGCGCGCGGCGCTGACGTCAGGGCGACGACGACGGCGCCTCGGGGCCAGCGGGTCAGCGCCCCCCTGCTGCCGCCGTCCGCAGACTGGCGGCTAGCGGCCCCGGGTGGCTGCGCCCGCGCGGCAGGGCTCCGCGCGGGGGCAGCTCGCGCCATCGTCGGGCAGGCAGCCTCCGCGGGGCGGGTGTCAGCTGGGCCCGCGCGCGACGTTTCGGGGCGGGGGCCGCTCCTGCGTGGCGGCCCGCCGAGGAGATCGCAGGCGAGGGGGCGGCGCCGCGCGGCGCCCCGGGGCGGGCGCCCGCCTCGCGCGGCCACCCAGACGCCCGCAAGTGAAATCCGCGAGCGGGAAGCGTCTCCACGCGCCCCATCGGGGAGCGAATTCGATTTTGAGAGGGCAAGGGGGCGGGGCAGAAGCGGGGCGGCCCACCAGAATCCAGGGGGCGGGGCGCAGAGCGCAGCCGCATGTGGTGGCGTTTTATTTCTTCAGGGAAGAAGCGACGGGCAGATGTCGCGGCATCCGCGCGCAGCCTTGGCGCGACGGCGCACCTAGAGGAAGCGGGCCTGGCCGGGTCGGGCGACGCCGACCTATCCGACGCTGCCGTGAGAGGCTGGCAGCAGGTAAATGGGGCGTGCTCGTGGCTCGCCCCCCCGCAGCCTCGAATCGCGAGTTGTGTGGGTGGGCCGCCGAGGGCCGCGCCTGATGCGGCTGGTGAAATATGGGTCGCGAAAAACTGGGGCGCCAGGTGCCCAGCCAATTCGCCGACTTCGCCCTCCGCGCGCTGACGGCCCGGCTGACGAGCGGCGCGCGGGCGGCCGGCCTTCAAGAGCAACCTGGGGGCCTCGGTGCCGTCCGCCATCGCGCTCTCCGCGGTCGGCGCCTAGCCAGCACGCGGCAGCTGCCGATGCCGGGCGAGCTCCTCGCCCTCGACGGCGCGCGCGCTGCGGCCCTCCATCGGGGCCGCTTCGGCGCGCCGCGCCCGAGTGCGACGCGCCTCGTCGGCCGGCTGACCGCCGACCTCGGCCCCGTCGCGGGGGGCTTCAGTTCGTCGCGAAGGGCGCGTGCCAGGGGCCGCGGCCGCCGCCGCCCGCGGCGCTTCGGTCGCAAGTGCGCGGGCGGGGCGACGCCGCGCTCAAGACCGCGGGCGCCGCGGGTCGGCCCCCGCAGCTGCGCGAGTAGACGGTGCAGGGCATGGGCAGCTCGGCAGGGCGGCTCACTGCCAACTGCGGGGTGGGTGGGGGGCGGGTTCTTACTTGAAAACGATCCTCCGTCGCGGTCGCGGAGAGGGGCGACGGCGAGGGCGGGGGGGCGCAGCGCGGGCCCCCCCCCAAACGAGATCATCCTGAGATCAGCCCGCCCGGACAAGGCCCATCGGGCGGGGCAGCGGCGAGTGCCTGGCGGGCAGATGTGGCGGCCCCGTCCCCGCCAAGCGCCGCGGCCCGGAGGTCGCTATCTCGATCTTGCGGAGTGGCCCCCGACGAGGCCGGATCTGCTCGAGGCGCTCTCGGAGCACGACGGCGCGACCCGCGGGCGCCGCTGCGACGCGGGCCCCAACTGCCACGCGGGCGCTATCGCCGCGGCGTGGCGGGGTGATAAGAGGCGCGCGACCACGAGGCCCTCGCGCCAATCGCGAGGCGCAGGGCCGCCGCGCTGCTGCGAGCGCATCGAAGACCCAGGAGGATTTCACGACTGCGCGGGCCTTCGCTCGCCCCGCCGCTGGGGCCCAGGCCCGCGGAAGTTCCCGATCTGAAACGAGCTTGGGGCGCGGCGGAAGCCGCGGGCGGGCGGGGGGCCGCAGAACGCGCCCCGTCCAAGCTGGCGGCGCAGAAACACCGGGCCGGCGCCGACCCGAGCGAGCCTTCCGATCTCGCGAGGAAAGAGGTCTACGAGGTGGCCGGGGGGATCCTCGAAGGCTGGTCGGGGGCTAAGGGGCGGACGGGCCACGGCGGCGACTTGGGGTGCATCGTGGAGAGGCAGTCCGTCCGCTTCTGTCTGCTAGCGGCACTTCAACGCGGAGCCGGGGGTCCAGGTGCGGATTTGATGAAGGGGCTGGAGACGGGGGCCACGGCGGGCTGGCTGCGCGAGATGCCCGGGCAGGGGGGGGCACTTCGAGGAGCTGGCGAAGCGGCGTCTCGACCGGGGGGCGGCCAATTGGGCCGCCACTGAGGCGGCAAATTAATTGTAGCAGCGTGGAAGACCGCGTCGGCCGGCTCCGAGAGCGCCTCGGGGACGAGGTGAAGGCGGGCAAGATGATCTAGATGTCCGTGGGGCAGCTGCGCAACCGCCTCCATGACAATTGCGCCATCGCGGCGCTGGCAGTCCTGGAGAGCGAGCGGCGAGAAGAGACTCGTCCACGTCGGGGCGCGTGAGGTCGGCGTGAACCGCGGGATTGATGCTGGAACCAGCACGGGATGCCGATGCCCGCGAATTAAACGACCTCCAGAGATTTCACGAAGACCGACGCGAGGTCATTCTTCTCACTCGCCACCGACGTCCAGGGAGCGCACTTGCATGTCAAGATCCGCGAGGACGAGCGGGGCATGCTGGCCTGCGAGTTCGAGGGCGAGGCGTGCTGCAATACAGTGTGCACCTTCGGCATTCCAGCGCATCAGACTGGCGGGCCAAACCATTCGGTGCCGTACTACGTGCGATGTGTTGCTTGATGGGAGACGAATGGCGAGTGGAAAACTCAATCTAAGATGTTCGTTGGGATGTTGTGGGAAGCGTCTCGGAGGACTTTGGGATACATGTTTGAGGTTTCTTAGGTGCCGTTTTGGGGCGCCTCTGGGGTCATTTTGGGGCCCTCGTGGTTGTGCCGTGTTAGGCCGATCTTGGGTGTCTTTTGTGCCTCCAACGCCGCGAGGCGGAAAAACCGTTTTCGCTAAAAATGCGCGCTTTCTTCGGGGAGTTGGCGATATTTGTCTCTTGGGGCCCTCTTGGGAGGCTTCTTGGATTTCTCTTGGGGCGTCGTGGGCGCCCACTCATCGGTCTGCATGCTATCTAGGGCGTCTTGGACCGATCGTTCTGCGAATCGGGGCGCTCCTGGACGGTCTTGGGGCCTCTTGGTACGTTTTCTGCCCGTCTTGGGACCCTCTCGGGCCCGAAAAAAGTCATACGACAAGACGCGCCAGGGCCCAGATGGCATGCGAGAGACCCTTGGATGGTTTTTCGAATTTGGGGTCTGGGTCCCTTAACGAATCGTCAGGATTAAGAGCTGAGGCTTGAGGGAATGGGCCAGAAACCTGATGACATTCCAGCTCGTGTGTCAGGGCACGTTGGAGGACATGCGCGAACCTATGATGAAACTCTGTCCGCTCATTCTCCAATCAGTGCTTGCATGTAGGTGTTCTTATGTCGGCTTCCTGAGTAATTGGATGGGGCTGTCGAGGTTTCGCCGCGTTTCCGCCCGTGGGGGCTTGTGGTCGCTCTTAGGCGCTCCGTGCCTTGGGTGGGCCCGCCAAGATTACGCCACGTTCCCGCCCGTGGCGCTTCGTGGGCGTTCGTGAGCGCCCCGCCACGGGCGGGTAACACAGCCTACGCCACAAAGTTTGCACAAGATAAGTTGCACTGCGTAGCTTACACAACATGTTTCACACCACATAGCTTACACAACATAGTTTGCACCACACAGCGTTCTCCGCATGACTTGCACCTCCATTGTGCAACGACTCACTGTGTGGGTCCACGCTGGCTAATAAGTTAAAGTCCACAAATGTGCGCATCTACACGCCAATGTTTGTTATCCCCTGAGCCCTGCGCGCGCTGAAGAGCAGGACGTCGGAGGCTTCG